TTTTTACGTTGAATTCTTGTTTTAAGATTTGAGTGTAACTTATCCAAAATATTGATGTACAAAACTATTATATATATATCACCCACGACTCACTAAATAATGAATGAGAGTGGATGTTTATCCAACATCTTTCTTTGAAAAATACAGCTCCCTCCTACAACCCCCCCCCCCCCCCCCCCCCCCCTTCCCCCTCCCATAAATAGCCGCAACAAGAAACTATACATCACAAATACATTATCCCACAGGAGCCATGTATCTGCTATCACATGCCAGCTGCTTCCAAGTAAAACCAATCTGAATGGCTCAGATCATGGATGAGGCCAGACCTCCCACACCACATACAACAGATAATTCACATTGCGCAATTATGCTTCCTTGGCGAACCCTGCATTAAAAGAAATGAACATAAGAGAACAACAGTAAACAGATTCAGAAAATCAAAACCTTCGGATAAATTGCCGGAACACCCCCATTTTTTTTTGGCATTGAAAGGACCAAACCCATGGGAGCACTCTACTAGATGCAAACACAAGAGAGTGAGAGAGAGCATTTGTAGGTCTTCAAAATTCAAGATTTCGTTACCATGCCTTCTTTTATAAAATAAAAAAATCGCAGCCCAGAAGATGATAAGACGAATGCCATTTAGACGGTACCATATAGAGCAAAGAAAAGAAATAATAAGGTGAATAAAAAGCATAGAAAGCATGAATTTTGCAAATGAATTTCTTTTTTCGGAATTGTAGCATTTTGTGAGTGATTTAACAACAAAACATCAGTTATTTACCTTGACTTTATATCCCGATAAAAATTACCTCCAAAAGATAGGGTGACAGCAAAAGCAGATGTGTGTGCATGAGAGAGAGATAGAGTGAGAGAGAGAGAGAGAGAGAGAGAGAGTGCCACATACCTTGATTATTTTTCCAAAATGAAAAGTACCTTGAAAAGACAATGTGACCACAAACTAAATGTGTATGTGTGTGTATGGGAGAGAGAGAGATTTAGGCCATCTCAAAGAAGAATGGGGATTATTAACTCATTTCCTGAAAATCATCTTCAAATTTTATGGGGCATATTAGATATAATAATCTCACCATTTCTGCAAATTCCACGACGACTTTGTCCAAAACAATCACGGATCGATTGTACCATTGAACTCACAACTGCCACATGAGCCAATTCTTCATTATCTTGCTGCACCAAGTCCATGACAGAAGAACATTCTCAATAAACAATAGAAGAAAGACCAGAAGAGATTTGTTTTATCAATTCTTGTCAAGAGGTGAACTATTGACAAAATTTAAAAAGATGATATCATAAGAAATTAATAAAATCATTACCACTTTGTCAAGCCGATCAATGATGCTACATGAGTTTGCATCAGTGGGCATGAATATCTTTCGGTAAGCCCTCCTCAAGCATTCGATCTTTAAGAATTCTTGCAACAAAGAGAGACAGGCCATGCCTATCAAGATAAATTTCCAAAGCCAAACTACTATCATTGATTTAATGCTTCACTAATTTAGATATAATAGGTGCATGTTAGTCCAATCACAGAAATACAGCACAAATTTTCGAATAATAATCCTGAAAATGAACAAAAATCAATGGAAGACAAGACACATGTTTCGATGACAAAAATCTTCAATCAAACCCAAATGCAACCATGTTATAAATAAAATGGGACACATGATTGTAAAAGAAGTGATAAAAAATATATTTAAATAATAATAATAATAACAGCAACAACAACAATAACAACAACAGAAATAATAATAGGGAATGATAAAAATGATGAACGTTCATTAAATTGCATGACTGGTAACAAAATTATCATCTTTTAGTCAATACATAAACTTTTGACCTCACCGAGTTCATTTGAATAAATAGATAGATGTAATTGAAGTTCACAAAAATCACGTAGAATATTTACATGCTCATTATAAATGCAAAACCGTTTGACTGAGTCCCATTATGACTAAGAAATAAATAGTAATAATACCAATTTTTATGATAAATGGAACACACATACGCAAAGTAGGAATCTATCACATCTACTTGTGCATTCATGGATAACCAAATCCATAAATGTTTTACTAGTAGTCCATTTCATGATGAGGAGCAAGAGATAATCAATTACACCTCAATTGGCTGAATTCATAGATATTTCAGAAGTTTCATAGACATTTTCAAAGTTCATGTCATCATGTGTCTACTCAAAATAGAAAATGCCAAGTCTCTAAAATAATATAATAAATGGTCAATAAACAAGAAGAAGAATCCAAAAGCATCTATGTCACTAAGTGTGTCGCTACACGTCTGGCACAGGTACGGCACCCAAATAGAAGAATCCATGTAACATAGCCATTAAGTGTATCAAAAATAGAACCTAGTAATCATGCACTGGCATAACAAAATTGAGGCAATAATCCAGATTCTAACCACTACCAGTCATTGCTAATTAAAGTTTTAATTTGTCAAATATCTTGGGTGAAAGATTGTTAGAGAATTACAAGCAATTCCCTTACGCTCTATTGTTGATATTTTTTGAAAGGTAAAGGAAGAGTTGTTCCAGCAATTATTCATATCATGTTGTTCCAGGTTGAAGCCCATTGCTCAGCTGGAGGGCAGTTGTTATTGCAAACTTGAGGTTTTGGATTTAAAACAGCTGATTTACCCAAAAAGATCATGTGGTTCACTTCTCTGCACTCCATTATTGCCTCACTTTTACACCCATTATGCTCTTTTTTCTCCTCATGTATCCAATTGTGGTTTCCTAGGTATCTTATATCCCTTTCATTTATCATGTGCTTAGAGCTTGTATCTTGCAGAATTAAGAACTAGAGAGAATCAAGTTATTTCCTGCAGTCTCTAAAAGTTACCATGATCTAAACTTGCTTGAGGTGCACCCATAAATGTTAAAAATCTACTGTTTCAAAAAATTGGGGTACGTTGTTTGTTTGAAATTTACTAAGAAAATCAAATAACATGTAATATGTATAATGAATTGGATGGCCTAAAAAACATGGAAATACCAAATTTGACATGTTCTATGAGCATGAACTCTAGTCTTTGATGATGTTTCCCATTTTATCTGGGACTATCCCATTATCTAGTTTTCTTAATTTTTTGTTCCTTTTACTACTTAAGAAATGTTTCTTAATTTTGTCATGAAAAGGTTTGCTACGTCTGACACCTAGATTAAGCCAAGCTGTCATAAACAACAGTACGCTGCAACACCAAATAAGAGGTTGTCATAAAAACTATGTCTTAATCTGAAAATCACTACATAGACATGCCCAATATGATCAAAGAGGGAAAACTACATGAAATTTGCACCTCCAGTCCGGTGAATCCATGTCGCCGGAGTCCCTCCAAATTCAAACCACGAAGCTCTGCTCGGTTGCCAGCAACCAACATATATCTTGGGACATCTTGAGCCACCTGGTCAATCCCAATAGAATCCAAATCATTACATTGCCCCCCATAAAACCCCCTACAGAAAAAATAAATAAAAGACACAAATTCCAATTATAGAATCATTTCATTAAAAGAAATGCAATGCAAGGGAAAGCACACCATAATCCAATGGAGAATGGTATATGACATGCCACAGGGGCAATGTTTCCAGCGACCAACTGAACCTGGCTGAATGTCCTGGTGGGTCTCACTAAGATTAATATCTGGTGTGCATCATTGAGAACAGATCGTGGATTCCTTGGGAATACATTATACCATAGTTCATTGGATTATGGCAATCGTTTGTACAAAATAAATATAGGCCTGAAATTAATTTCATACCACAGAACCCCCACCAACAAATGAATGTGATCCTAGGTGGCAGAATTGATGAACCACAACTGCCCCTCCAGTATGTATATGGTCCTAAAAGTTTAAGAAACCTCACAGTGAATAATGATAAACGCGCAAAATGCACAAGCATATGCTTCTGCAAAGGAAAGGACTTACTTCTACTTCCACATGCCCTGCCACAAGGGTACTGTTCGCAAAAATATTGTTGTTACCCACTTTGCAATCGTGAGCAATATGACAGGACCCCATGATGAGATTGTTGTCACCAATAACCTAATAATAATTTCCATTTGTTAGATCGTAAATGGTGAAGTTCCACTGAACTCTTAGTGTGAGCCAATCTTTTTGCTAATCAAAAGAAAATATGGGCCGATGTTTTATCATTACAAATATGTATACTACTAGAGCTAAAAGTTATATCTGCCAGCTATAAGAACATGTTTTAAACCAAAATCCAGTCGATTTTGATGAAACTTGGAACTTGAAGTTTTATAAAATGGCCTAATGTCGGGAAATTTTCCTAAAGATGGCCGAATTTCATTAATGCTTTTCTCAATTGAATTAAGTTCAAAATTGACTCCTAGTCTACAATTTTTTGATCCCACCTAAACCGTTGAAAATTCTAAAGGATCAGGCATTGCTAAAGATCACTGATATTTGAAACTTTTAAGATTTCTTGATGAACAAATAATCCACAATAAATGGTTCATGACCCAATGCATTCATACTGTTTTGTCACTCGATTTTGAAGACCGATGGATAGAAGAATACTCTCGGACATCATTATTGTTGCCAATATAGAGGAAACAGTCATCCCCGTCCTGCAAGGAGCATAAGTTATAACAATAAAATTGGTTGCCTTGATCAGGTATAACATGCGGACATAGGTAGCAGTAAATCTTCCATTGGGGACGAAGACAATAGTGAAAAATGAGAAAATATTTGCACCAAGATATGATCAAGAGAAACTAATGTACATAGAAAGTGCAGGCCATTTGATGTCAAATCCCCACGGCCAATCCAGAGCATTCTTTTGGAATATGTCAATACAGTGACACATTAAATGCCTTTTACGAATTCAAGCAAACAAAATGTATATAAGAAGACTAAAAGTATACAGACTTGGAGTTCAGTAAACCATTATAGTATTAATTCCATAGTATGATCCATAAGCCACAAAACCAATGATGGTCGCAAATGACAAACTTCAAATAACTTACAACAAAAGGACAGCACTATTATTATCACCATACAACAGAAAGGAGTCAAAATGAATAAAAAGTCATTCTTTCTTCTTTCTTTATGATAAGTGAACCAAGATTACTAAATGGCATCTAAATTTAAATGGCATCTATAATCACTCTATAGTCACCATTGAGGAAAGTATCTATAATAGCTCCTCAAGCAATGTTCACAAGTGCCTATAAAATAAACTGTTATTTTTAACAACCAAAGTGTTAGCTTTTAATTCTAAAACTCAAATCCATATTCAATCTGGTCCAAAGCAACTTCTCCCTCCTCCCAAAGCACATACTGAAGTATGAATTGGATAATCACAATCCTTACCAAGAACAAATTGTTAAAAACCTAGGTTCAACTGTCTCATCCGTCACCAATACCTCATAAAAACTTTCGCACCACTTGAGAAAACTTCCTCATTCTAGACTTGTGACCTCCCTAAAATGCTTCACAATAAACGTGAAGCCACAATCTTATACAGACCCCAGATACACTGATGGGCAACATGGACCTGCAGCCACAAATTCCTCTATTCATTCAATTTAGGGGACGAATGAAACAAAAAATGCAATGGTCAGTTGAAGTTTTCTATTATAAACTATATTCCAAGGACTAGATCATTTCTTGTTAATAGGGAATGACTTATCTTTTCTCTTCATACGCTTTGGTATATAATATCTTGATCTTTCTATAAATTACATCACAAAGTATAAAGAAAACAAAAACACACTCAGCATGGCTGAGGTAGCTCACATGAAATGCACAATTTTTTGATGGCTGCCATAAAGCGCATAAGGTGCATTAAATCACCAGAATTGTCTACAACAGGGATACCAAGACTATCAAGAAGCCCTAAGCAGGAATAACAAAATGGACAACAGTAACCCATCAAAAGAGTGTGCACGCACACACCACACACACACACACACATGCAGTACTATCTTAGACCATTCCCGTATGTGGAGGAACGTGCCTGATTTCCTCAGGAATATGCTATGATATGATATCTTTTCTGTAATTAATGATTTCACAGGAGGTTCATAATACTGGCTCACAGTTACGGGTCAAAAGGCATTAAACTTCTTCCTTCTTGATTCCTTTAGATTAGTTTATAGTTAGCGGTGAATATCTCTAAACATGTATCCTCTAGTAAGACTATGATCTTAGGCATTATTATGTACTATCTTATCACTAACAGCAAAATAACAGGCAGCAGGATAACATAGGTGTGTGTGTGTGTGTGTGTGTATAGGAAATAACTCTTCTACGCCTACTTACATACAACAGTTTGTACACCCAATGGCAGAGATTGAATCTGCACTACTGGATAGGCCCACATTGCATTATTTTTTTAATTTCTTTTCTTTTCTCTTCCTCCAAATTCAATCACATGAAATTTCGCTAATAGAATCTATAACTTAGGCATACCCAAAAAAATATAAAAATTATTCAAACAAAAAATTGATCAGAATAACCTTGAAACAGCCCTAATTAGATGCACATACGCTCCAAATTCACAAGAATTGGATTTCTAAAAGGATAAAAATAAAAAATTAAATTAATTCATGGACGTCCAATCTGTCTATAGATTCATTCTGAACCATTAAGCGCATGCGCGCACACACACACACACTCAAAAGATCCCAAATAAAGTATAGATGCAAAGCTCCAAGTTGCTTCAAAATGATCTCAACCTTGAAAGGTGAGGCAAACAACAAAATATTATGACCAGATTTGTCTGAATACAACACAACTACTAAGTCAAGATAAATGTTTCCAATAACCTTTGATGATGACTAAATAAATGGGATCATCATCATCATCCGAGCCTTATCCCAACTATTTGAGGTCGGCTACATGAATCTCGTTCCACCATTCTTCTCTATCAAGGGCTATAAACTCGGCAGACCATAGGTCACTATATCTCTTCTCACTACTATCATCCATATCCTTTTGGGCCCTCCATTTGCCTTTTTAAAGCTTTTCACTTAAACCAACTTGCATGATGAACAAATAAATGGGATATATAATAAATGGCTCTAACTGAAAGAAGTGGCAATGTAGAATTCCAGACTGTAAACAAACTTTTTTTTATTTTTGTTTTATTAGTTGCTCGAAATTCTACTTACAGGTGCCACAAATACAATAAAACATGCCAAGTATGATCTAGGATCTTAATAAACTCTATGCCAAAAAATAACCTTTATTCAATGGAATATAATATTGGGACTTTAAAAAGCAACTATAAGATAAATACAGCAGCAAATAAAACTAAATAAATAAGGGAAGACTTACTGACTTTTATCTGGGGTTACCCTTTCTAGGGCTTAGCACACCCCACAACCTATCACCTGAACAATAGCGCATTTAGAATTTTGAATCCGGTATAACTCTCAAATCTGAACTGGAAAGCACCTCTGGCACACCCTTGCTGAGTTGTTTATGGGGAGAGCAACAAACACAACTAGGGTTTCACTAAGAAGACCCTCTAAAAAATTAGGGCAGGCAAGCAAGGAACAAACCTCTAAGCCTAGGGCTAGGCATGCCCCTCTCTTTTTCTCCCTCTTTTGCAAGGAGTGCCACCCTAGAGACTTGGGGAGGGTGGTGTGCCACTATTTAGAGAGAGAAACTTAGAGAGACAGAGGCGTGGAGGAGAGAGAGAGAAGAGAGATCAGATGACAAGAATTGAGGGGAAGAACCCCGCTATTTATAGACCTTTAGCACCAAGAATTCTCAGTCAAATTAGGAATTTAACATGATCTAGAATTATTTAGGTAATTAGTGGGGTGAAAGAGAAATTTAATATGAATCATTCATTTCCAAGATCAGCCATCATGATCTAGAATGAATTTTTAGGAACCTTATCCCCAAAGACTTGACCCATATCCACTTCTAATCCATCTAGAACTTTAACAAGTCAAAACTTATCCTCATGAATGATTTAGAACAATCTAGAATAATTTAGAAATCCCATTCTTTTACAAAGAGATGATTAGGACTTCTAATTAATTCATCCTTGGTCAAAGATTACTAGATAATAAGAAAATCACTAAGACAATCTTGAAAGAATATTTTTAACCAAAAAGATATAACTAAGAAAAATATTCAAAAAAATAATTTATAAGAAAAAGAACATGTGCCACACAATTTAATAACAAAAAATTGTTGCGCTAGACCCTTAGCCCCTCCATGTGGGTCCCACGCAATTTAATAAATTTTCCAGAATGCCCATGCAATTTTAAAAATTCCATAAATACACATAGGGTTTTTACGCATTTAAAATTAGTTTATACAATTCTAAAAGTTCTCAAAATTCGTTGTGAAACATTTTTAGTTAAAAACAAAATATTTCTGGAGTTCCACAAAATCTAAAACACACAAAAATACAATTTAAAAATTGATAGGTGCCTAATGTGACACAAACAAGCGCATATCAAGGTACTCCACCCGTGCCAGGATCCATGATCCACTATTGTCTTCTCAAACTAATCCAATGAGACCCATGACCCACTTCAAGTGTAGGGACTCATGATTGGCCCATCAAAGTTAACCAATAAACCATAGATCCACAGTCTTAGTACGTGGATTACAAGTTCTCCCAAAGAGCAAGTCAAATGCACACATAGTGCAAGGGGGCGCTCTCTATGCACATGTACATATGTCCCTTTATATAGGGTTGCTTTTCAAATGCAGTCATATGTACATGCCATTTGGAAGTTTTGTTAAGGATTTGGCCATCACTCTCACAGGCCCTTCCTCCACACACAGGAAACCACACAGCTCTCCTCGCCTACAAACAACATCCTTGGGCATCTCTCCAATCTCAACAAGGTATGACCCTCAATAAGCCCTCTACGATAGTGCCACATGCCGAGGGGTAAGGGTTTTGAACATGATCTGGGCTATAGACCGCCTAACCCTAAGTCAGTCAGTAACAGTACAATCCCACTAAAGTGCACAATCCACTATAAATAATTTTATATACATTCTCTCTAGGCCTTTAAGGCCACAAACCCCAACACTAACATCATGCTCAACATAAAGACAGGTAAAACATTAGCAAAAACGAACATAGCAAATCATAATACATATTAGATATTGAATCATAACACCATGCAAACAATGATTCCAACGACCAATCAAAGAGCGATCTGGCATACATGTCACATATGCCACCTTCATGGGCTTTACAGTATTTCTCCGGAAAATGGGTCTAACCATACAAGAAACATCACTATATGGTCATTCAAACTAACCTTGTATTTCATATCTTGACACTTTACACCAATCACAGCATGATGCCCAATGATGTTATTGCATCCAATGACAGTACGACCTGGCAGCTCTGCACCAACAATAGCGCCACTGCCTGACAAAATTGCTATTATATTAATCAAATTCTTTTGAAATTTAATTAATTTAATAACTTTACATAAACTTCAGAAGAAATGTAAAATAATGCACAATTGACGAATTAAGAAGTATACGAACGTCTTTGTAATTAGCATGGTCATGAATTAAGTCTCCCTTGTCAAAAAGCAAAAGAATAAAAACTATAAAAATAATAACTATATATATGATTTACTCTAATAATAACAATAATAAAATAACCATCATCATCAGAGCCTTGTCCCAACTATTTAGGGTCAGCTTCAGGATTCATAGAAAGTTTTGGCAAATTTTTAAGTTGGTTGACTATCTAACACAACCCACTTCTTTTATTGGGCTTGGGACATGTTAAGGGAAACTTTAAGGTCCTCACTCTTCTTAGACAAAAATAATAATAATGATGGTGATAAACATTTTGGATATGGTACTTTTTTAGTAAGGACATAAGCGCACGTTAACACAATGCAACCGTCTCCTAATTCTGTATTCCCAAAAATATGGCTTGCTGGATGTAGTTGACAGAAATCTCCAACTTTTGTGGCCGAACCAATAGTACAGAAAGGACCCACTGATACCCCCTGCACATCAAAAAATTAGTTTCCAACAAGTGAAGCATATGAACAACTGAAAACAATATAATCTTATAAAAATATTGATTTTTCAATAAAAAAATACTCCATTGTGTCATCATCAACCAATTAAACTACTGGCAGCAATGGCGAGAGGGGAGAAAGAGCACAATCCGCCACTGGGATCATGCTATGCCCTGGTCGTCCTAAACTTGCTTTATCGTTGATTATTTCAACAGACAGTGATGGCCCAATGGAATATTACATGGTCCATTGGTGTTTGGTATAGTGTCCCTAAAGAACCCTTTGGGACAGGTTGCAAGTAATAGAATAGGCATACTTAAAAAAATTTAAGCAGACATCCAATAGTACAGTGCAGCAACTTAGTTGACTAAGCAGAACCAATACTAACTCACCCCAAAAAATAGACAAAATCATATTTGACATATGATTTAGATTAGTATTCGCTTATGAATCATACAATCCTGCTCATTAACCATATAGCCATAATCCATTATCGATAATAACCCACTCAACTAAGAGTAGGAAACAATAACAATCCATGTTTTCCTCTTTGATGGTTATGAAACAAGCAATGTTGTCTCAAACTCCATTTCAAATTGAGTTGCCATTTCATAACTTCCTACCTAAGTTAGAGTAGAAGCTTCTACATGATGTATCATTATGTATTGATGGATGGAGAAAATATTGCTATCAACTCTTTTTTATTGGTTTTTTTTCTTTCTTTTTTTTTTGGATATGTTAACCGTCAGCACTGTTGTATTGTTCTACCCCTTGAAAGTGAAGTTCCGTCATTGTTTATTTTATTTTTTATTTTTTTGCTAAATTATTTTATTTTTGCATTACACATGTTCAACAAGTATTATTTTTGCTTGTTACACATTCATAGAGTTTCCCACCTCTTTCTAACAATGTCATTTTGATAGTACCTACGGTTTAACCCCAACTCAGAAATAGTATTCATTCTTTCGAACAATTGTATACAACTTTTTTTTTTTTGAGAAATATATTAACTCAATTGTATACAAATTAAAGCTTGACAAGGCACAAACCCTACTTAAGTTATTATACTTCCCAAAAGAAACCATCCAAAGTTCTTATTATAGTCAAAACTTCTTGTATATGAGGTTGTTTTCGTCAAAATGAGAGGTTCAAAACAAGGACTTTGGGCTGGTACATGTTAATTCAAAACGAGTGGTTCAAAACAAGGACATGGGTAGAGACGCGCTAGGTCCCAAGCCCAGGTCAGGCTGACAGAGTCAACCGAATACTAAGAAAAAAATAATATAACATTGGAAACCGACCAGACTAGGCCGGTTCCCATGGTTTTGGTTCCAAAATGCCGAATCTGAGGAACCTGAGCAAGTCCTTGCCGAGTTTTAATTCGCTATTTAAAATCATTGTCGCTAACAAGTAAAGGTGCACAAAATGAAAATGATATGTTCACATCACTATCAGATGGTGACGCCTCACAGTCCTTAACAAAGAGAAAAATGCAAGAGATGCATAAAAAACATGAAGTCTATTATCCATATCTGAATTAACCGGCACATGAACTGCTCTTCATAAACAATGACCCCACCTAGGAGTGGGGTCTAGGCAGGTATGCCTAAGGCAAGCGCCTATCTCTTCCAAACAAAAAAAAAGATAAGACTCTCTACTCTCTCCAGATATGAGAAGAACAAGAAAAAGATGGACTCCAAGTGTTCGATGCGCGGCCTCTCTCTCTCTCTCTCTCTCTCTCTCTCTCTCCTCTACACTACTACACTACACTACACTACTACTACACTACTACTACTACTACGTACGTAACGTACGTACCGTAACTACGTACGTACGACGTACGTACGTCGTTACG